ATGGAACACTACATCAAAAACTAATGATGTAATGTATGGTGATTAACATAACAATAAAAAAATTTAAAAAAAAACTAATGATGTATTTTATGGTGACTAACATAACATAATAAAATAAAATTTAAAAAAAAAGAGTGTATGACACTGTCACTTCACCAACTGCAGTATGTAAATGCATAACCACAACCCACATGAAGACCCCAGACTCCAGACCAAAACATGGTGAGAGCCCATGAGAGGTCACTAATGAGAATGCTCTAATGGCCCACTATCACCAAAATCATCACTATGGAGGTTTCCTGGTCACTTCTGCCACCTTGAAATTTGTAGGACTACAAAAAGTTGCCACGGGGAAAGAGCATACGTAACTAGAAGCAAGATGTATATCATACCATCTAGCGGTCAAGATGTCACTGTGAGGAATTTTTTAGATGTCATTTACATTCAAATAGTATACTCTGAGTAAAGCACATTATCCTCCACAATGTGGGTGGGCCTCATCCAATCAGCTGAAGGCCTTAAGAGAAAAAAAGACTGACCTCTCTAAGGAAGAGGGAATTTTGCCTCCAGAATACCTCTGGACTCAAGGCTGCAACATCAACTATTTTCTGGGTCTCCAGCCTGCCAACCTGCCCTGTAGGTTTCAGGCCTGTCAGCCCCCACGATTGTATGAATCAACTCCTTAAAATAAATCTTCCTATATATACATATAATATAAACCCATATACATATAATTCATCATTATCAAGTAGGGACAAAGATTGTGAACAGGGATTGTGACAGTATTGTCAACTACTCCCGTTGGTTCTGCTTCTCTGGAGAACCCTAACAAACACAATCCCCTTCCGTCCACAATCTCTGTCCCTCACTTGATAATAATGGATTACCACCACTGTTACAAAGAAAAGTCTCTTTGGAGCCCCTGGGTTGCTCAGTCAGTTACATGGCTGACTCTTGATTTCAGCTAAGGTCATGATCTCAGGGTCATGAGATCGAGCTCTGTGTTGGGCTCCACAACGAGCAGGGAGTCTGCTTGAGGATTCTCTCCCCTCCCTCCCCCCTTACCCCCACTCACATGTGCACGTGCTTGCTCTCTCTCAAATAAATAAATCTTTATAAAGGAAGGAAGGCAGGAAGGAAGGGAGGGAGGGAGGGAGGAAGGAGAACAAGACCTCTAAAACTCCCACTAAGACATACCAGGACTAATATTTGATGGATTTTCTTCCTGGAAATTTCCTATACATACATATGTATAACTTTATCTCTAGTTCAAAAAGTAACACATGTTAATGGTAAAGTATCTGAATAGAAAGACAATATAAAAAAGCACCTGTATCCAATCATCTAGTAATAACTACTCTTAACCTTTTAGTCTATGTGTTCACATCAAATTAAAGCTCCTCCTTAAATGACTATTATATAACTGATTCTTGAAGGGGGGGGTAAATTATTTTTTCTTTTTCTCTTTTAGAATTTTTTTAGATTATTCATCAAATAATCACCTTCAGTTGGAGAAATACCTCTTTCTAATAGGACATAAATTATATGTGCTATATTTAGTGGGGAATTAAGAGATAAGGAGATTTAAGAAATTTTATTTGATAAAATCTTAAATATCAAGGCATTTATCATGAAAGATAAATCCTGAAGTATTTTTCACAGAAGTAATTATCTTATCATAGCAATGCACTGTGTTTGTAAATACCAGCATAAAATCTTGGACAACACTGGCCAGTCACAGAATATCATAAGATATAACTGTATTAATTACCATATCATGTGAGATATACATAGTACAATATTTGATTTACATGTATGCAATATGCTATATTTAAAATATATGTACATGTAAATGTGTTCAAAGAATATGCATTAAAATGTTCTTAAAATAAAAAAAAAAGTCTCCTTTCACTTTAAAATGAGTATTACCCTTTAAAATGTTATCAGGCTTTAATGACATTTATATTCTATACCTCTACATATAAAACTCAACCACAAGTAACCAGCTCCTAGTCATTGAAGAAACAACCTCTGCTGTGGTTACACAAACTATACAATTACATTGTAAATTTCCACAGTGAGCACAAACTAGAAGGAAGAGCCCAGGAACTGACATCTTACCAAGCATCCATCCTGATTCAAAAGCTCTTTGGAATCCATACTAAGCTTTCTCTTTCTGTTGGGCTGTTTCATTGCCACTTTAGCGCTCCTTAGCAGTGTTTTCCTGCAAAATAGTGCCACATAAAAAAGTTTAGGAGTTTTGCCCCTTTAGAATAACAAAACAAACCCCCAAAAATGCTTTCATTGAACTTCTCCTAACTGGTTGCCATAAATACCCTGAAAAATGAGCTGACATAAAAATTTCACTGTTGCTTTTATAGACCCCACTAAAATAATAAGTTAATGGGGAAAAGAGATGAGTTTTCTACCTCACCTAGAATTTATATCCCAAAGAAACAGATACTATTTCTTTGGTCTATCTAACATTTTTGGTTGTGTTGTGGGTTTTTCTTGGGGGGGGGTTCTTTTTTGCTTAGCTGATTTAACCAATTCGGATTCACTGCAGTCTACCTATTCAGATTCTGTACTCACGTGGTCTGACTGTCCACAAGTGTCAAAGCAAAGCTATTCCTGGTGAGAGGACTTTTGTCATACAAGGCATAGCACAGCAATCTGGAACAGAGAAAATAAAAAAAATTACGAATCCAATTTATCATGACCATTCTTCAGTATGTTAACAAATAGTAGTAGACTAGTAACAAAATTAAATCAGTAATCAAAAATCTCCCAACAAACAAAAGTCTAGGACCAGACGGATTCCCAGGTAAATTCTACTAAACATGTAAAGCAGAGTTAATACCTATCCCTCTCAAACTATCCAAAAAAATATAAGAGGAAGGAATTCTTCCAAATTCATGCTATGAGGTCAGTATTACCCTGAAACCAAAACCAGACAAAAGTCCCACAAAAAAGAAAATTACATGCCATTATCCCTAATAAACACAGATGCAAAAATCTTCAAAAAAATATTAGCAAACTGAATCCAACAATACATCAAAAGGATCATTCACAATGATTAAGTGGGATTTATCCCAGGGATGCAAGAATGGTTCAATATCTGCAAGTCAATCACCATGACACTTAAACGAAGAATAAAAATCATGTGATCATCTCAAAAGATGCGGGAAAAGCATTTGACAAAATTCAAAATCCATTCATGATAAAAACTCTCAACAAACTGGATTTAGAGAGAATATACCTCAACATTATAAAGGCCATATATGACAAAACCATAGCTTACATCATACTCAACAATGAAAAGTTGAAAGCTTTTTCTCTACAATCAGGAACAAGACAAGGATGTCCACTCTCACCACTTTTATTCAACATAATATTGTTAAGTCCTAGCCACAGCAATCAGACAAGAAAAAGAAATAAAAGGCATCCAAATTGATGAGGAAGAAGTAAAACTTTCACTATTTGCAGATGATATGATACTATATACAGTTGGCCCTCAAACAACACAGGTGTGAACTACACAGGTTCACCTACATAAATACAGTACAGTACTGTAAATGTATTTTCTCTTCCTTATGGAATTTTCTTAATAACATTTTCTTTTCTCTAGCTTACTTTATTGTAAAAATATAGCATATAATACACATAATATACACAACAAGGTTGACTGTTTATGTTATCAGTAAGTCTTCTGTTCAATAGTAGGCTCTTGGTAGTTAAGGTTTTGGGGGGTTGAAAGTTATATGCAAATTTCCAACTACACTGGGATTGATGCTCCTAATCCCCACATTGTTCAAGGGACAACTATATAGAAAACCCTAAAGACAACACCAGAAAACTGTTAGAATTAATAAATGAATTCAGTAAAGTCACAGGATACAAAATTTATACACACTATGAAAACAGTAGCAGAAAGAAATTACAAAAACAATCCCATTTAAAACTGCATCAAAAATAATATAATACCTTGGAAAATATCTAACCAAGGAATTGAAAGACCTGTGCTCTAAAAAATATAAGGTATTGATGAAAAAAACTGAAGATGAAACAAATAAATATAAAAATATTCTCTGCTCATGAATTAGAAAAATTAATATTGTTAAAATGTCCATTCTACCCAAAGTAATCTACAGGTTCAATGCAATCCCTATCAAAATGCCAATGCTATTTTTCACACAATTAGGACAAATAATCCTGAAATTTATTTAAAGCCACAAAAGACCCTGAATATCTAAAGCAATCTTGAAAAAGAAGGACAAAGCTGGAGGTATCACAATCCCAGATTTGAAACTATACTGCAAAGCTACAGTAATCAAAACAGTATGTTACTGAACAAAAACAGATGCACAGATCAACAGAAGAGAAAAGAGAGCCCAGAAATGAGCCCAAACATACGTGGTCAGTTAATGTATGACAAAGGAGACAAGAATATAATACAACAGTAAAAAGACAGTCTTTTCAATAAATTGTATTGGGAAAAGTGGAACAGCTACATGCAAAAGAATAAAGAATGAAAATGGACAATTTTCATGCACTATACACAAAAAATCAACTCAAAATAGATTAAAGACCTAAATGTAAGACCTGAAACTATAAAATTCCTAAAAGAAAATGTAGGCAGTAATCTCTTAGACATTGGCCTTAGTATTATTTTTGTGAATTGTCTCCTCATGCTAAGGAAACAAAAGCAAAAATAAACAAATAGGACTACATCAAACTAAAAAGATTTTGCACAGCAAAGGAAAACATCAACAAAACACAAAGATGGCCTACTGAACAGAAGAAGATATGTTCAAATGATATATCTGATAATGGGTTAATATCTAAAATATATAAAGAATTCCGGGCACCTGAGTGGATCAGTCATTTGAGCGTCAGACTCTTGGTTTTGGCTCTGGTCATGATCTTGGGGTTATGGGATCAAACCCCACATCAGCGTCCACACTCAGTGGGGAGTCTGCTGGAGATTCTCTCTCTCTTTCTCCCTCTGCCCTCCCCCTCCGTAATAAATAAATCTTTAAAAAAAAACAAAAACAAAAAATTCATGCAACTCAACACCAAAAAAGCAAAGAACCCAATTAAACATGGGGAGAAGTCTTAAACAGACATTTTCCCAAAGGAGATGGCTAACAGAGACATGAAAAGATTTTCAACATCACTAGTTACCAGAGAAATGCAAATCAAAGTCACAATGAGATATCACCTCACACCTGTCAAAACAGCTAGTATCAAAAAACCAGTAAGGGGGCGCCTGGGTGACTCAGTCAGTTAAGCATCAACTCTTGATCTCAGCTCAGGTCTTGATTGTGGGGTCATGAGTTCAAGCCCCATGCTGGGCTCCATGCTGGGTGTAGAACCTACTTTAAAAAAAAGGTCAATAAATAACAGGTGTTGGCAAGGATATAGAGAAAAGAGAACCTTCTTTTGCACTGTTGGTGGGAATGCAAACTGGTGCGGCTACTGTGGAAAACAGTATGGAGGATCCTCAAAAAAATTAAAAATAGAGATACCATACAACCCAGGAAGTCCACTTCTAGGTATTTACTCCCCCCACCCCCCCCAAAAAAAACCACCACACTGATTCAAAAGGATACATGCACCCCTGTGTTTACTGCAGCATTATTCCCAAAAGCCAAGATATGGAAGCAACCTAAGTGTCCATCAACAGATGAATGGGTAAAGAAGATGTGATATATATGTGTAAATATACACAATGGAACATTACTCAGCCATATAAAAAAGTGAATTCTTGGTATTCATGACAACATGGATGGACCTAGAGGGTATAATGCTAAGTGAAATAAGTTAGATAAAAGAAAACAAATAGTATATGATTCACTTATATGTGGAATCTAAAAAACAAAACAAATGAACAAACACAGATACAGAGAAAAAACTGGTGGTTGCCAGAGGGAAGGGAGATAGAAGGATGAGTGAAACAAGTGAAGGCAATTAAGAGGTACAAACTTCCAGTTATAAAACAAATACATCATGGGGATGAACATGCAGCATAGGAAATAAGATCAGTAATATTATAATAATGTACAGTGACAGACGGTAACGACATTTATTGTGCTGACCATTTCATAATGTATATAATTGTCAAATCTCTATGTTATATTCCTGAAACTAATATAATATTGCATATCAAATATACTTCAATAAAAATTTTAAAAAATAAATGAATAAACACTAGCATTCTTTGAAAGTTATCTGGAATGCCTTTTTGATAAGCAGATTAACCATTTTAGAGAAATTACCCCTTAGCATTATATGAGTACCACTGGAGCAATAATTCACTTTGAATAATTTTAACTACGACTGACATGTAATTTAAAAAAAAATTTAGCAGACCTAAATCATCTATAGTCTCCAGTGTTTTAGAATCATATACCCAAACTTCTTCCCTGATACGTCCTCCTGGATGGACAATGATCCTAGATACTACAAACTGAACACATTCACAACTGAGCTCATCATTGCCCCTTTCACTGCCCCCCAGTTCCACTCTCTCTTCCTATTTGCACTAATGACATGACTGGTCACCCATTTGCCCCCATCTGCCCTTTACAGTTCTTCAGACTAGACACTGCACAGGAGCACCAAGCCAATGGGCAAGTGGAGGTCAAAATCCACTCTGGGCTGTGCACACATGCCACTCCCCCTACCACAGGTTTAACATCTGCCAGTCAGAAAATGCATCTTCTTCTGATTCAAACAAAGACACCTCTTGGGCTACTGGCGGCCCTGACTGCCTGAGCCAGAGACCTAGGAGTTAACATCATTTCATCCTTTACATCACATCTGTACACTCTGTCACCAGGTTTTGCTCATTTTTAATCTACTCGACATTTTTTTTTTATTTGCGGGAGAGAAAGTGAGAGGGGGGAGGTATGAGAAAGAGAGGGAGATCCAGAGCGGAGCCCAACATCTCAGGACCCTGAGATCATGACCTGAGTCAAAATCAAGAGTCAGATGTTTAACTGACTGAGCCACCGAGGAGCTCCTCAACATTTCTTGAATTTATTTTCTCCCCCTACTCCTATTAAATCTGACCACCTCCAATCTTACGCTCCTGTCAAGTTCTTTGGAACACTATGCCCCTGCTGCTTCTCAGCCCCACACTTTTGCTGGTCCCTCAACCTTGGAACATCTTCCCTACTATCCATCCCTCCTTTTTCAATCTAATTCTTACTCAT